GGGGAGGGAGAGGGGGGGGGGGGGGGGGGGGGGGGGGGGGGGGGGGGGGGGGGGGGGGGGGGGGGAGAAGTGCAAGATCCAGGTGGAGCAGTGGGATTAGCCGAATAATCGATCGGATCTGCACGCAGGTGATCATGGGAGACAGACCGGCAGCGGAGAGGGCGTGCAAAGACCCCAACCCCATAATCGACGGTCGCAAAGCAAACGTCAACTTGGCGATTCTTGGAGCTAAGCCCAGGGGTAATCTACAAGCGTGTAAGTTTGCTCATCGATGTACGGTCATTCAGTGTATGTGGATTGCGCAAGCCATTAGAAAACAGATTCAGCAGGTTAGACGGTAGCTGTTTGAGTTGTTGATGCTTGAGTGAAGTTATGCTTTGACTTCGAGAAATCTTGACTTGTGCGCGGAGCCACGTCTACCACACCCGGGACATTCCTTCTGGAAACAGACGCGAAATTCGGTACTCGATCTTTCGATTTTATGTGGGTTCATAGTTATCGCTACACTGCGGATCTGTAAGGAAAATGCGTAAGTAGCATAATAAATAATGAATACGTTAGGGGACGAAAGACGCTTCCGTTAGAACCTCTTTGCAAGCGATGCGGATCATTTTCACGCGTCTATTTATTGATCACACGCGTATGATGATAATTTACATATTATTATATTTATCTTACGTGCGTATTATATGGCGGATAGACTGTGGATTTTACGTATTTCTGAAGAAAATGGATACATAGGTTGAACGAACTGGTACATCTCAAATGAAATACGCATGCACGTTACAAACAGCTAATAAATTAGATAAATTGTTAATTTAATTTAACTACTAGAAAAATATTAATATTAATATTGTTAATTTCAATTTGATTTAAGTAACAGAAATTCATGAGACGCGAACCACCGAGACTTATCTAACTCACGTTTCCTGCAATTAGCTTGGATAATCTTTATTTAGCATTAAAGATCGACAGTCTAATAATCGAATAAAGAGAAGATTCATAAGGCACAGATCGTTTGCATTTTACGCGAAGATGATCCACGGCCTAGTCGTTATTCTCGCGTTTGTGGAATTACCATTTAATATTTGCGCGGAGCCATCGCGGGTTTCTGGTCGTTGAAACATTGCCAGATCGGTAAATCTTGGTGTAACGGACGTCTTGGACGCGGCCGGAAGTGATTCTTTTTCTTGATGCATGGAGGGCATACGTGCAACGTCGATAAAATATTATGGCGGAACGGTGTGCTGACAGTGAACCAACGTCGATGTTAATTGGGGAGACGAGCGCGTCAGTGTCCGGTTGAGCGAAATAGAATCGGATTCTGATTTCGAGCCAGTTCGAGATGAAATTTTCTGGCAGATCGCGGGCCCTGAGATTCTTACTCAATTAGATCCATCGAATGCGGACTGAAAGGGCGAAGGGCAGATTCACGAGCCACGTCCGCGCAGATCGAGAACCGTCCCCCCTGAGTCACTCTCTTCAAATTCCCGCCGTGGCTTCAGGCCAACATAGCTTGGCGCTTCGGGTACCTAAGTCTAAAATTGCCCTAACCCAAGTGCCGGATTTGCCTTTGTTTCTTTTCCTTTCCGCGCAAAAAGCCTGTTTGCTCTGGCGTCGGGTAATGATGTTTAATATTAGACTATACAATGATGCGATGGAACGAACTCTTTAGCACACCGGGTTTTCAGCCTAAACGAAACGCGGCGTTGCCCAGAGCTTTACGAGGTTAATATACCGTTCGCAATTATGTGCCGTGATAAATGCTTCGTTGATTATTGAAATTGGTCGCGCGTATTTGCAATTGAAAACTAGCTGCAACGCCGACTAACGTGTCACGAGCTGTGTTACCATATCCACGAACGACTAAAGTTCTCGTTAGAAGTTTTGCGTTACCCACTTTCCGCCTCAACCGCGTCTTTAACGTCTAAAATTAGCAGTTAGGCCAAAGGTGTCTAACGTGGGACATAGTTTTTTTAAAAAAATCAGAACTTTCGATTATAAACGCTTTGATTGAAGGTAGATATACAATCTCCTAGAAAATACGGAAAAAGGAATTTCGCTTTACGCAACGTATTTCTGAGCGTCGATTAGGGAGAATTTATACACGATAACGTAAATAAATAAATATATAATATAATAATAATATATATAATAATAAATAAATAGATAATAATGTATACATAACGGTAATAAGCTAGGGTCTCATATTATGCAACTTTACCTTACAAGCTGCGCTGAAATTATAAAATTCAGTAGATTGCGAACACTTTCGAAGGGCCCACAGAAAATCAGGAACATCGTGAACCGTAATTTTGATCGAACGCATTGCGAACTGGAAGTGCCGAGATTCGCGAACCGAGTTAATTTCGTATTGCATGCAACGTTTTCCAATTGAAATGGTTTCGCGAAAGGGGCTCGTCGAGGAAGAACGTTTACGAAAAAGAGAACGAGTTTTGTGTCTCAGGCGTCAGATTAACCGACTTCTAGCTGTGGCAATTAAACGCGCGTACTCGGTTTTCGCGTAAACGTTCGACGACGTACCCGTCGCAGGAACGGCTTGTTATTTTATCTGGATAGATAGCGGTAATCGAAGTATGTGTACGCGTATTCGTAAAAGAACAAAGTGCTCGGAGTCGCGCACGGATGCCGTGTTTCGAGTTCAGGGCCATTAGAAATCAGACCATTAGAAACGTGTATAGGATTGACTACGAACTGTTTATGATTTCAGCATTCCCGTTCGCTGCTGGCATCCGAGCTGGATATCCCGCGGTCCTTCCCGGCCAATATGGGTGAGTCCACGTTGATGTGATTTGTCGAAGAATAAGTAAGAACGTACCTATTATACATGTCATTACCGTAGTTACCGAAACATTGTCGAAAGGCGTCTTGACCATTCTGACCGCGGCTATTCGAATCGCGAGGTTCACACGTTATACTAATATCGCGGAACGTCCGCCGAGAAAAAGCATAATCGATTGTGGCAATTTTGTTCCGTCCGCGCGCGCGGATAGTTCGCCGGTATTTTCAAGCGCCATTTTGCATAGTAGTAAACGATTATTCCGAATCGGACGAGAATTTTTTCGATTCACCATTACCTTTTGTTCGAAATCGATGTTTCGAGGTGATCGCTTTAGGCAACACACACACGTACACACACACACGCACATACATACATACATACACAAAAAATGATACGATAAGAATGATATAATTGATACACGGAAACGAAGGTATTTGGTTGAATAATTTTGCTAACATTTTGTTAAAGATAGACTGTATATAACGTTTCAGCATCCTGACGCGTGCGCGTAAGGGGGCAGGCTGAGAATCCTCATTGCGAGATCCTTGAGACCGCCAAGGGCTGTTCTAAGGAGCGCAATTAAAATACAAAAAAAAAGTATCGAAAGAGAAACAAACACAAAGACATGAGAGAGAGGGAGAGAGAGAGAGTGAGAGAGAGAGACAGAGACAGATACGAAACAAAACGAAAAAAAAGTATGAAACTAAAAGACAGAAAAAGGGGCAGAGATATTTGAAAAGGGAGAGAGAGGGAGAGAAAGAAAGAAAAACGAAAGCGGCACACGCACACGTATCGGAAGCCATGAGTACCCAATGAATTTATTTCTACCAAACGATAATCTTCCGAGGATCGGTCTCTTCTTCTTCTACTGTTTTTTTTGGTTGTGTTTTTTGTTTCTTCTTTCTTGATGAGATTGACGTTGAAGTGATATAATTGACGATTGCGGTTGCTGAAAGATTTGTTTGTTACTGGTTTTGACTTTTTTGGTCTTTACTCTTTTACACTCTTTTTCTTAATCAGCATAATCACAATAATCGTAATCATAATAATACTGATTGTAGTAATAATAATAATAAGAATAATAATAATTATAATAGTAATAATAATAATATAATAATAATACTTAATAATAATATTATTAATTGCAATAACGATGGTTGCAATCCGAAAGAGGCACTATCCATTCGCAGCAACGTTACTCCCTTGTTCAGCCATCAAGGTAACAGCAATTGAGAAAACGTGATACATTTTCCTTTTGTCTTTTTCTTTCGTCGAAGGCGCGAACCTTCGACGCGGATCAAGAGACACTTGCTATTAATTGTCGCGACCGATTGATCGACGACACTTACCAGCAAGCATCGAACAAGACGTTCCGCCACGTTTTCGTAGACACTTACAAAACTAGCTGCACATGTTACAGGTTTTTTTTAAATTTTACTCTCCACCCTATTGTTTTATTTTTTTTTTTTACTGTTAATATCGAGTGTGTTTCCGTCAAGTATTCTGTTTCTTTTCGAGTTTGAACTTACTGACGTGTGTACTTTTTTCTCTCCAGTTTTGAGTTCACAGTTACATCGTACATATATTTATATACATATTTGTTTTTTTTCTCTTCACATGGTTTTGCCTTTGGTGGCGGGGTTCGCCGGCTTCGAAGGTTCTTCGGAATCAACGCGAATCGTGTTCCGCTCGCTTTAGCTAGAGCGTAGATGTTAGAAGTAATTCGTGCGGGAGCTATGCCCCGCCTGGCCGACCGTTCCAAATATTTATGCGTCCGGACCGGCGTAGCCAGCACGCGGGCCGCATCGTTCCACGAAATTTCATGGTTTTTCCGGAGAAAAACCGGAGGCGTCCGCGTCCACGTTTCTAGCCATTCGAAACCGTTTGACGAGACGGGACTGGAAAGTGCGAGAAACAACCAGGAGAGATTAACCGTGTACGGTAGAACCGTGTTGAATTATAAACGACGCGGCCGATTCGTCGAAGCGGCGGATCTTTCGTGTTTTTTCGCCGGAAATCGACCCGCACCGCCGCGAAACACGACAACGTTCATTAATTTTTCACAACGGAAATCGATTCCATCGCGGTTTACCTCGGTTGGCCCGGCCAGATTCTTTTGCCGGGCAATGAAATCCGTCGAGATATTACACCGCACCGAGACACCGAGCACGTGTGCTCACGGTTCGCCTAAAATAAGCCATTCAAGTGTCTCGATCGACTGTACAATTAGCAACCATGCTTCATAAACATATCGGACTAAACAATTGTTCGACCAAAAGGACAAATACTTTCTATACGCAATTCGAACGATCCGTCGAAATACGCTGCGTAGAATATTTTCGTACGAATCTCGGTGTTTCGAACTATAGTAATGTCTCCCTAACTGAGACGCTAAGATTGTCCACGAAAATGGACAATTTGGGAAGAGAAGATACGATTATTCGTACTTGTAGCTCTCGTTTTTGTACTTGTTGACAATTCGTGACTATAAAAATAAACCGCAAGGCTCGAATAATCGTATCTCCTCTCCCTAAATTGTCCATTTTTGTGGACAAACTGAGCGTCAATTAGAGAGACATTACTGTATGCCGATGTCTCTCGAATCGGAACTTTTTCTTTTGCAAATTGTACCCGTACAATTTCTGCAGCTGCGAATTACATTCGAAACGCGTGTCGTTTGCTGTCGCAATTAAAGGAAATGCTTCGATGGTTTTTTCTATCATGCAAACGCCAACAAAAACCGTCGGAAGATCGTTCGCCAGCGACTCGTTCGTTAACTCGAAGCCAAGGATCGGCGAAATGTTCGCGATCTTGTCCGTTCAAGAACGCGCGTGTACGACGATCGAGATATCATCGATCGTGGGAATCGTCGATCGTGTGCGGAAGGGTACTAACTAACCCACTGACGATTGTACGACATGAATTTTGTTTAGATGAAATGGTTTATTCGTCGAGTGTATAGGCTCCGCTAACCATTTACAATAATTAATAACCTTGTGTGTGTGATGAAGGCTTACACTACACTTGGTGTCGCTATTGGTGTTGTATTTTTTGGTGTTGTACGTGGTGGTTTTTGGACTTTTAATATAACAATGGTGTACTGTTTACTCTTAGAGAACGAAAGACAAAAGAAACCAGCGAATAATGAATTCCGCGTGCGCGTAACGTCTACCTGCGACTCGAAGTGAGAAAAATGCCTGCGAGAATCAAATTTTAATCGGATCCACTTGAAACGCGTTGCACTTTCTTCTTTCGTGGAAATTCTGTTTGGGTCAGTATTTATGGGCACCTGCGAAAGTACAACGAGTCGTATTTGCGCGGTTCAATGTGATCGCACGCAAAGATTTACTCAAACTTATGTCGCATAGATTAGCAAAGGGTTTTCTGAAAAATAGACGATTGGTGTGTACTTTTCACTTTATCCACGTTGCTTTGTACGAACGACAAGTCTGAATTTATTATGAGACCAACCACCAGTTTTATCACAGCGTGTGCTTTCACCGTTTCCTATGAGAGAGTCTGAGTAATTTCGATAAATTTAGAGTGAACAATGAGAAATCTATCATTTCGACTGGCACGATAAGTTACGTGTTGAATAAACAAAATAACGATGTAGTGGATAGAATGCCCTTTTCGCGATCTCGAAAGAGTGATCACAGCAGTGATAAAACACTGAAAACTATGAGAAAATTACAAGAGTCTACAATCAAGGAAAATTACTCGATTAACTCTTTACAGTTCACTGTAACTTTCAAATTAATCAGAAAAGTTGTGCGTCACAATTTGAAATCTTATCACACATCAAAGTAAACCCGTATTATTAAAAAATCGTAAATTCGTTGTAAAGGTTGCATTTCCTACATTCACTGATTTCAAGTTACATCAATTATTTCGAATCCACATAAAAATGTCGGATTTATAGAGGGTCAAGTTCCTTAAATAGGCACTCGTTCGTTACAGTCAGCATCACCGTATCGATATATTTTCGGAAAACAATCATCAATCGAGCACAAAACTGAAACAGTAATTTCTCATAGTTTCAAATCCAACGTTCCACACGTTTCAAACGGAGTCTAGAAACTCCGCTTCCGGTTTCGCAGAAGATAAAGCTCGATAGAGTCTGAAGGAGGCATTAATTTCAACCACGCACACACCCTTGCGCGCATCATCAGTATTCGCATACGTCGACGAGAATATCATTTACGTCGAGCGCGCCATTGGGAATGCGTGCGTATTGTGGAACACGTGTCCTCGAATTAGTTGGGCATAGGTGGAAAAGTGAAATTCTACACCGCATCGTGAGTTTTACGTGTCGAAGAGGGTTTTCTCGGTGCTGGTAAATCCGTGGTGTCGTAAGCTATCATAACCGACCGCCAACGACAACCACGACGACGACGACGACGACGACGACGACGACGACGACGGCGGCGGCGGCGGCGACGGCGAAGACGACGCGTCGCGTCTCGTCGGCCATCTTGGAGGTTCTGGCGCTGGTCCAGTCTTTATTTAGATCCACCTGTCTCCCGTGTCAGCTTTTATGCTCGAGACATTTCCTCGAGGGTTCCTATGAGAGGATTTTAAACACGAATTAACGCCGTTCCTTCGGTGTTTAATGCTACCAAAAGCAACCGTTCAACAATAAAGTCTATTTTCCACCGGTCTCGTCAATTACGATTATTTATGCGGCAAATTGTCGTTCGATTTTTAGTTTTATTCGAAATTAAGAATATTGTTTCTTTTGTCCGGTCTCACGGATCACACCTTTCTTCTCTGATTTTATGTTAATTTAGTCGGACTTATAGTACGAAAGATTATTAGAAATTAAAAATATTTTGCTTCCTAAATGGAATTAATTGGAAATGGCAAACAAGGAACCCTGATTTCAACAAAACTTCGCACAAGCGTTTATTAAACTTATCTAAGAATTTGGTTCTCTTTAATTCGTCCATGTTCGTTTCTTACTTCAATGAGAAAATCAACTCTTTTCTT